CCACAATACTGCATTACCATTAACACCAAACACCAGGCTACAGATAAACACATAAACACCTGAGAGGATCAGATAGGGGTCAGTGAACAGGCGTATATGCTAGACCAAGGATAGATTCAGCTGAGGCTAATCTTGGACAGACACCAATGATACAAAATACCTGCAATCCTTACAGAAACAGTAGAAGATAGACACAGAGTAATCTCTACAGACACCCAGACACTATGAGAGAGAGAGCCAATAGATCTACCATCTCAGGACCATAGTACTGGAGGACACTAGACTCAACCGGCACAACAAAATCATAAAAGCCTTGTTCCATATCTTACATTGGTGAGTAGCGACTGGGGTCTTAAAAGCTATAAAGTGGCCATCTAAGATGCAGCTAATGGTCTCCTAGTGTTGGAAGTGAAGAAGAATGCAAAAAAACAAGGGCATTTGGAAGCAATCAGCCATAGGACATGATGGCCCTCGAGACCAGAAGAACTAGATGGTGCCCGGCTACCAATGCCAACCACTCAGGAAAGGGTCAAATCTGGAGATCCTGGATAGAGTGAGAGGAAAAACGTGGAACAAAATCCAAAACCTCAATAACAACCAGAATTAGTGGTCAGATGAAATCTTATGAGACCCCCCAATACTATGGCCCTGGAATACATTCTGTGCCTGGAATAAAACTCACCCCAAGGGCTGGCTCTCAGCCTAATAGTTAACAAGATGTACACACAGACCACTCAACCCAGGCCACACACCCACATACTCTATGGTAATACATCCCTTAGAACAATAGACCATGGGGTACAGAGGACCAACATTCAAATTGAGGAAATGCAGGACAAACAGGAGTGCATAAATATGAGGGATACAGGGGGAGGGTTACTGGGTAGGGAGGGGAGGAGACTGGGTTAGGGATGGACATGGTAAATGGGGAGTGAAAATAAATGTATACGTAACACTGAATGTAAAACAAGCTCTTAAAATAAAAAAAAAATAAAAAAAGTTCAAAGTAATTAAAAGTCTATACTGTATTACAGATCATGAAATGTAATTTCCATACTGTTTTCTTTATGAACCATACAAATATGTTTTCCTTTAAAAATTATGCTCTAACATACATTTATATATGTAGTTTCTAGCCTCAGATGTCATTTAAAAAAATGTTTCTTGTTCCTAATAAACATATTGTAATGATAGGAAAAAAAATTTAAGCATTGCTTAAATACTCTTTAAGAGCTCAGGTGGCATAGTGCCTAAGGCTGTTAACCAGAAGGCTGGTAGTTCAAACCCACCAACCACTCCTCGGAAGGAAGGTTGGGCAATCTACTTCTGTAGTGATACCACCTTGGAAATTCAAGGAAGAGTCTCTATGAGTGGATCCCACTTGACAGCAGCGAGTTTTTTTTTTTTTTTTTCAATACTCCTTGATTTTCCAGTGCAGTGCAGTGAATTACTTAATTTGGCTCTTCTAGCCATGATATTTGTGACTCCCACCAGATGACTGGGTAGGACTATGCAAATGTGACCACCAAGGGATTGGATAGCTTGCTAATAATGTAAATAAAGTATATGGCACCTTTGTGGGGGTAGAACCATGAAAATAATGTATATGGATCCCTAACATAGGGACTGGTCAGTTCTATCACTCTGCCAGGCTTAAAATGAGCCATCCCAGAGGCAGAAAAGGGGGATCTCACTGCCATCAAGAAAGAACAAACAGTAGTGGAGTTCGTCATTGGACCCGAGATCCCCGCACTGAGATGGCAGAGAGATGGCACAGAGACAGCAGCAGTGGAGACAACAGAACCAAGAAAAAGACCACCATGAAACAGAGTGGCCTGCTTGTCCATGGAGTGAGGAAGCTGAGTGCCTTCAGGCAGGAGGCTTGCTGGTGAAGTGGGGTGTAACTTTCAGCAGAGCTAAAAGAATTTTGTAATACTTGCCAAAGCTGGGCAGAGGCCAGGCCAAAAGGCCGAGGGCCTAACATGGTGTGCCTGTAGGCATGGTGTGAGGAGGCTGTCCTGATTGAAGAATTGTGCCCTGAGCACTCCTGAACCTGAATCATGACCTATTACTTCCCTAATAAAGCCCATAATTGTGAATACTGTCTGTGAGTTCTGTGTGGCCTCTGCAACAGATTATCAAACACAGCAGAGAAGTAAAGAGTGCCTTGGGAGGGACGGCTGGTATTAGAATTGGTGAAAAATAAAAGTTGGAGGGTGGTGGCATGTCTGACCTCATGATGCTGATGGTGATTCTGTCTCTCCTTTGTGAAGTTACAGGAGGCCAGGCAACAGAGCCTCCATACCTTTTTTGCACTTAGCTAGTTACTTCTTTTCTGAAAATAGAGTTTAACTTCAATCCTGTCCATCCAATAATCACAAAAGCTGAATTAATAAAGTTCTAGTGATTTGGAACTTCATCTCAATTATTCCTACACAAAGGCTGAGGGAAAGGACAGACCAGTCATAAGCTAATAGCTGTTGGGCTGGCAGATGGTATGCATACAAAGGAAAAGCAAAAATACATAGGTTAGTCCCAACTATACAGAAGAAGAAACAAGCTTCACAACAACCAATCTGCCAGAGAATGCCAATCTCACAAGTATCTGTCAATGGGGATATTTTGTTCATTCTGATCCTCTCAAACTGTGGCCAACTCTGAAAGAGAACTGATAATAAGTCATAGAAATGTCAACTCTAGTTGTTTTTTATTATTATTATTTTTAATTTTGAGGAACCGAGAAGGTTCTTCTACCTTAGGCAGCACTCAGAATCACTTTAAGACATATGCAGTCTGACATGTCCTATTGTGTTGCAAACATGCATAACTCATTAACATTGGATGTAAATATTGGCAAAACTACCCTTTTGGTACTTTTAAAAAATATTACAGAATCACAATCTTCATTCTGAAAGCAATTGTTAAGATTACCTAATTCAGTCCTTTTCTCTTATAGATGAAGAAACCAAGGCTAAAAGGGGAATTAAACCACACTCACAGAGTAGGAAGAATATTTAAAAGCAAAGGATTAAAAAAAGAATCAAATCAGAGAATCAAAAAAACAGAAAATGAATATTTTTTACCAAAAATAAATGTCTTTTAGCATCATTTTTATGTAGAAAATCACAGATTATATCTTTTCCCTCTTGCAGAAGAAAACTCAAAACCATGTCAAATGATGTCTTTTTTTCAAACACACACTTAATCTTTCAGGCAGACACAACACACTACTATATTGTTACGTCCTTTTAGAGTCAACCCTCTACATTCCACCACATACCTGAAGTCTTCACACAATGTAATTACTGCTGAAGTTCAGCAGACTAAGCATGTTCAGTAATCCCCACTCTAATCTACCTGCTTCTAGAAAAAAACTGTGCTGGGTGCTGTTAAGTCAATTCCAACTCACAAGGACCTCACATAGGAGAGAACAACTGCCCTATAGGGTTCGTTGGTTGGTTTGTTGGCTGTAACCTTTATGAAAGCAAGTCTTTCTCCCATGCAGCCACTGGGTGGGTTCAAACCACCAACCTTTCGGTTAACAGCTGAGCATTTAACTATTTGTGCCGCTAGGGCTCCTTAGAAAAAAAAATGAGAAGTAGCAAAATCTGCATGCAAAATGATCTTTCTTTTAGCAATTAGAAAACACAGGTATATAATGTGAAATTGTCATTGTCTCCAAGACACTCCAAAAGAGGATATAGTAGCTATCTAGAAAAGAAATTACGCATGCAGTGGATTAGGACCTGCATCATCAAGCACCGCCAGTGATTCTCAGCTGTGCTCACTGCTAGGCAGGCTGCATCTCAGAAGTAAGGAAATGGGAAATACATATTTTTGAGATAACCTAAAATCTTCCCTAAGGAATGCCCCTTTTTTCTAAGGCACTTCCAGCATCCTTACTCAACCAAGGAGAAAAAGGGTAAAATTGCAACACAACCCTAGATTTATCTAGTATATCATCCATACATGTCAAGAGTCAGGACAACCTGTTATCACTCACCAATAAAGGAGAAAAATTAAATTTTCAAGGGCTTCTACAGGTTCTTTTGACAACCAAGATGTTGCTCTTCCAAAGTCATTTGATCCATACATACTAAGAAGGAGAATTGATGCCAGCCCAGCCAGATAGTTCTGCCAGTATTAATATAAGACATTTTACTTAATAAATTTATAGTGCTCCATTACCTTGATCCAACAATTATGCTGATAAAATGGTTTCTAAGCTGCAAAGTTGTTGAAACCTACACTACACAAACTCCGCTAATGGAACACCCAGGACATCCTGTTTGAAATACCTAACAGCTATGTACCACCATTAGAAAATATGTATAATTATGTATAAATAAATTGATTTATTCATTCATATGCTCTACCCTCTCCTTTCACTTCACCTCCCTCCTTTTCCTTATCCCAAGGGTATAGAGCAGGGGTTGGCACATACCTTCCAAAAAGAACAGATAATGGTTTAGTGTTTATAGGCTCTGTCACTGTGGTGAAACAGAAGTCACAAAGGGGGGTAAAAGTATTCATAGACAACATGGAAACTAATGGGTGTGGCTGTGTTCCAATAAAACTTCACTTATAAAAACAGGCAGCAGGACAGATTGGTCCTCTGGAGCCACAGTTTGCCAATCCCTGGTACAGAGCAGCAGTTCTCAAACTTTAGCCTGCATCAGAATCCCTGTAAGACATGTTAACACATGATTTCTAGGCAGCCACTCTTAAAATGATTGATTGAGTAGGTCTAGAGTAAGGTCTGAGAATTTAATTTTTTAATAAGCTCTTCAAGTGACACCAATGCTGTTGGTCCAAGGACACAGAAAGAACCACTGGCATAAATAGAATAATGGTCTACACTGATCTCAGTGGAAGGCTGAAATATAATGAATAATGAAATTAGAAACCAAAAAATAAATAAAAGAAAAGAAAAAGGAACTAGAAACCACATGCTGCCAACTTGACTACTAATTTTATAGAATATTCATATGAAGACTTACTGTTAAGTGCCATAATATTATCTGTTCCTGGATGGTGGAAATTTATTCCCATGCGTCCTAAAAAATAAAATAATTGTATTTTAAGCACAAAAAGAAGAATGTTTAACTTTATCATTACAAATACATTGTAAAACATGAACATTACAAAAAGCTAAAACAGATTAATCTCTAACAATGTTATCAAGGCCAAGCAGTCATAACAGTTTTTAAATCAAATCATAAAACATACACATGAAAAGTCTTAAAACAAAGCCAGAGTCTCAATAACAACAAATAAAACAAAAAGGAAGCTTCCATTATAAGCCTGAAACTTTAACACATTTCCCGCATTACAATATAAACATGCCAACTCCCTGAATGAAGCATTTTATTTAAACCACAATTCAAACTGCCCTTCAAATTCAAGCAGCAAAAAATTTCCTCAAAGAAGTATATACTGTAAACTTGAAGTTTACAGGGAATAAAAAGATATTTTATCATGGCTCAAAAATGCAACATAATGACCGTCAGAATGGCAACTGGAATAAGATGGTAAAGTTTACGTAACACACATGATGGGGAAAAAATGACTGGCCTGAAAATCTAGGGTTCTTATGCTGGTCCTATCAGTAACTAGTTCTATGATCTTGGGTGTAGCCCTCCACAGAAAGTGTCTGTCAATCCCTGGTCTACAATACAACAGGTCTAGATGAGATGTTTCAACTAATCTACTCGAGGGTTAAGGTTAGAAGATGCACAAAGTTGGTACTTTTTTAAAAAAAAAAAAAACACTTTTTATTGTGATAGATGAAATTTTACAAAGCAGACTTGTTCTACAATTAAATGCTCATATATGGATTGTTTTGTGACACTGATTACAATGCCCATGATGTAACAGCTCTCCTCCCTCTCCCTGAGGTTACCTTTTCCCTGTATCCTTCTTACCTGTGCATTCTTGCCTTCCTAGCTTTCTCCCTGTGCAAATGCTGCCCTTCTGATCTCCCATGGTTGATATTTCTAAGGCGTGCATCTCCCCGGTGGAGTTCAGCTTATAGGCTTGTCTATTGTTTGGCTGAGAGTTAAGCCACGGGAATGAGTCCAATTGCAAGCCCAAAAGGTGACTAGGGGCCATACAGTCTGGGTATGTGTGTGTGCGCATACATTTTTTCATTAGTTATCTGAGATAAGGAGGTGGATGAAACAGAGGGGGTCTTGGGAAAAAGTACTTAGTAAGCTTTTTTGACCAATTCCTTGGGGGAAAAAAAGTTATTGAAACAATGCTTTTTAGGTAAAGCTAGTATCTATGAACTTGGCTCCACCAGGTTTTCATATCCAATGACATCAAAGATTACCATGAAATTTTCAGAAAAATGTTAATTTTATTTCACAACCATTGTTTAAATAAAAAATAAATGTCATTAGTATTTGGGGGAGAATGGTATAGAAAGAACTGGAGATAAGGTAGAAGTGGTTGACTTTTACAAAACTTATATACAATTTCAAAAAGATCATTAAATACCTTGGTACTAAACTCTGTTATGGAGGTGAACAGCATTACCAAACTCTTCTGACCCAAAAGAGAAGCATTACGGTGGCTAAAACAGAGCATTTGCCTCAAATAAAAAGGGCAAATCATGAATTCCTAGTGAAATTGAATTTTACCATCCTAATCTCTTAAAGAGGAGCTCTGGTGGTGTAGTGCCTAAGGCATATGACTGCTAACCAGAAGGCTGGCGATTCAAACCCAGCCACTCTTTGGAAGAAAGATTGATCAATCTATTTCCGTAGTGATACTGCCTTGGAAACCCAAAGAAGGGTCGCTATGAGTCGGGTCCAACTTGATGGCACATAACAACAACTGCCTCAGAAACCCAAGGAAGGGTCATCACTATGAGTCGGATCCGGCTGACAGCACTGAGTTTGGTCTTTTTTGGTTAATCTTTTAAAAAAGAGCAAAGTACCTAAGGCATTTGACTACTAACCAGAAGGTTGGTGGTTCAAATCAACCAGCCACTCCGTGGAAGGAAGACTGGGCAATCTACTTCCGTAAAGACTTATCACCTTGCAAAACCAAAGGGGGTCGCTATGAGTTGGAATTGACTTGATGGCAGTGAGTCTGTTTTTTTAAAATCTCTTAAAGATCCTCAGGTCACACTAATTTAAATGATTCAGTTACAGGTCATTTCATATTGAGGGAGAGGAGAAAACAAAATCCTGAGAAGCATAAGGTCACTTTTATTGAAGGTAGGATTGGGTGAGAGTATATTTAAACAATGAAAAAATAGTGACCAATTTATGGATTGTGATGAAACTGTTCTAATTTTACCATGAAGCATTATAAATATTTTAATAAAAATTAGCTTTTATTATTTTAAACCTTATTAGAGATAGTATCTATCTCTAGTTTTGTAGAGATTATTCTGCTTGTATTGGTAATAACTAAATCTTTTTTGGAATATATTTTAAATAGAAAAAAATCATCAAAGTAGCAAAGAATCCTCTTCTAAAAAATAAAATTGCCTATTTTATTTTTACAGATTTTAGACATTTTCATATTTATAAAGCCAATTATTACAAGTTTCAAAAATATTTCATTGTGTTTAACAACAATGTATTTATATTATGTAATGTTCTATGTGCTTTTATTTTTCTAGATAAGTCATTTTTAGAGTCCCTGAAAATTACAGTCTACATCATATGTAATGAGTGCTATCTCCTACCATCACCTTCATTGGAACTTACAGGAAAATTTGTAACGTGATCAAGGTTTTAGCTCAATATAATTTACATTTTACTTTCAATGAACTATATTAATGTTCTCTCCTTCATTATTTTCAAATAATCAAGACCTTACTTGGATTCATTATCACCAAGCACTAACATGCATAAGGACTGGATATGATTTACTCTAAACCAGCTTTCATCATATTCTGGAGTATTCAAAGTTAACAGTAAATAGCCAATCACTAGAAAATCTACCCAGAAAGCCATCAAGAGTTCAAAATCACTACCCATCAGAACTTAGGAAACGGCATATACAAAAGGTCTGGTAGCATAGTGCCTAAGGCACTTGACTGCTAACCAGAAGGCTGGTGGTTCAAACCCACCAGCCACTTCTCAGAAAGAAGTTGGGCAAGCTACTTCCGTAGTGATACCCTCTTGAACACCCAAGGAGAGGTCGCTATGAGTCGGATCTGACTCGATGGCAATGAGTTTGGTTTTTGGTTTGGTTTATCCATTATGCTAATGATTAGGGTATCCTGAGTCACCGCCTTACTAGACAGTGTGACTCAAGTCACCACCCTTAGTTTTCTTGAGGGTATGGGCTGCATCCAACATATAGGAACATTCTGGAAAAGTTCTCTTGCTCTGAATCTTGCATCTGGTTTGTTATCATCTGACCTCTGATTCTTGGGACTTGAGCCAAAAACCTATCATCTGATCCTCATCACCAGCTTCTCCAGTCCTGTGAGCCAGTAAGCAGCCTGTCCTCTGACCTGCTGATTTGAGTTCCTCGACCCTGGCAACCACATGAGTGAGGAGAATCCTCCAGACTGACACTTGACCCATGGATTTGGGATGTGCCAGCTTTCACACACACATGAGCCATTTCTTTGCCATTTTGTGAGTTCTGTGAGATGTTGCAGCAAATTAAAGAATCCTAAGCCTGCTAACCAGACGGCTGGCAGTTCAAACCCACCAGCCACTCCCCGGAAGGAAGGTTGGGCAATCCTACTTCCGTAGTGATACTGCCTCGGAAACCCAAGGAGGGGACGCTATGAGTCGGGGCGACTCGACGGCACATAACAACAACAAGAGAGAGAAGAGTTTGAAGGAAGGAGGAGTAGTTGATGTTAAAGATAAAGGTCCTTGGAGTGATCAGTCATGGAAGAACAGAGGTCAGTGTTTGCACAGGGAGATAACTCAGGGAGCAGAAGTGCATGGGAGGGAAGGACACAGTGAAGAGGTAACTACAGGGAGGAAGTGGGAAGAGACCTGTTACATCGTGGGGAATTGCAGTCAATGCCATGTAACAAAATGTGTATAAACTGCTGTAAGGAAAATGAATTTGCTGTGTAAACTTTCACCCAAATCACAATTAAAAAAAAAAAAAAGATGATGGACTGGTAGAGTATTTTGGAAAAGCTGGACATTTGGGACATCTTTAGCCTCTGCTTCATAGGGACCAGCCTTGTGCTAATCCTTCTAAAAGAAATTATTATTCATGCATGGGTCAACACTAGACCCATCAGAACCAACTAAATATAATCTTAGTTTTGTTTTTTTTTTTAAGTAAAACTACTCATGGTTTCTTTAAGCTAGTTTCTTATATGGCATATACGGCATACACTAAAGGTCTGGTAGCATAGTGCCTAAGGCACTTGACTGCTTTTGACTCTTCAAAAATTGTTTAGATTATAAAACGCAATACATTTCCATTGGAGAAAAATTAGACAATAGGGAAGAATAAAGAAAGTAAGATTACTAACTCAAAGATTACTGCTGTTATTGTTTTGATTATAGTCTTCCAGATTAGGGAGTATGTATGTATAAAGAAGGAGCCCTGGTGGCTCAATGGTGAAGTGCTTGGCTGCTAACTGAGAGGTTAATAGTTCAAACCCATCTAGTGGTTCCTTGGGAGAAAAGCTCTGGCAATCTGCTCCTATGAAGATTACAACCTAGAAAACCCTATGGAGCAGTTATACTCTGTCATATGGGATCAATATGAATCTAAAACTAATAGCACCTAACAATAACAACAACGTGCAAAGGTTTCTTATATGAAATTGTTATTATTTTACTTAATATACTATATGTCTTAAGTTACACAGTTATTAGAGGATTTTGGAGGGGAGAAAAAAATATATAATAGCAAAGGAGAAACGAATTCCAAATTCAGATGAGGCCATTTCTCTTTTCTTCCTTTTGTCCTACAAATACTGCTGTTTAATCAGCTGTGAAAATAGAATCAAGTGTGTGACATCTGGTGATTTTTGTTAATGCAGTCTGGTGCTGCCAGCATGACATTTTGTCACCTGTCCATGGTCTGCTATTTTTAAATTGCTCTTGTCAGCTAG